CAAGTAGATCTCGCTCTTGAACCCACCAAGTCTCTCGTGGTTAATCTCGGCACTCTTGCCTGAACGGTAGACTGGCATCGGCAGAACATGAGCGATGAAGTACCAGTAGTGAACACCGCGATCCTCAGACGGCCGTTCGTTCGTTGCGGGCAAGAACAGCGGGGGCAGGCAGAAGACTTACCGGTGCTCGGGCCGGAGGCTGCAATGCACAAGTCCGCGCCTACAAGGGTGCCGACGGAGTGTGGAAGGTGCACACGATTGACGCCGCACACACCGACTGCTCCGGCGGCAATACGAAGGGGAGGACCGCTGCTCTCCAACACCTGGCCTCCACAGCCGTGAAGGACCATTCGTCCATGAATGGCAAGGAGCTCAAGCGTAAGCTGGAGCGGGACACAGGGATCAATGTCGCCCACCGGACTGCAAACCGGATGAAGATGACAGCAAGGGACGGCGACAAAGCGACGACGGCGGCTGGGTACCAGCTGCTGGGTTCTTTCTGCGACCTGCTTCAACAGCAGTGCCCTGGTTCGGTCGCGGAAACCCAGGTGAGAAATGTTTTCTCTCGACTCGTGGTCTGCGCATGCAGCAAAATGTATGGCTAGGACTGTACTGATGCAAACGTGTGGTGTGTGGTGTCCACGGGCGACCGGTGTTAGTGATATGGCCACTACATGATGTACTTCTAAGAGTACAGCTCTCAACAGCACAGCCCTCAACAGCACAGCTCTCAACAACAGCAGTAGCAGGGTAGTCTTGTCTGCAGCAGTGTGCAGTCTGTCTGTGTGTTCAGCGCCGATTGTTGGCGACCCCTTCGTTTCCTTCCGTCCTCGCTATACATACTCCAGCGTTAGCTTGGAAGGTACCACGCCGAGCCCAATTCGAATCTCAACTGCTCCACGACGAAGAGGGTTGCCACCAGAAGATTCTGTCGCTCAGCCATTTTGATGACTCTTGATTGATTGTGTCATGTCGATTGATGTCGAGTGCATCGATTGCATTGTAATCTCGCCTGATGATCGGTCAGGGGGGTCAGTGTCGTGTGCGACATAGGGTGTAGTATCTTGTGCCACATATTAGGTACCGTCCCTACCTCGTGTGTACTACATACAACAACACGTGTGCGTACTGCACTACAGGAAACTATGTGTGCTGCTGCTCTTCTGATAATTTTGTTTGAAGTATGAAGCGTTGATGCCGGCCGTTTGGTTCCCCCCCCTCGCAGGTCAAACGCTGCTTTGCACTTGGAACGACTTACCGTATATGACACGAGATAACACACCCCCTTGACCAATTTTCGAAGCTCGATATCTCAACTGCAGGAACAGTAATAGCGCCGAAAACGGCGGCGTTGAAACCGTCTCGTCGAGAGCTTGTCGAAAATGTATCGTTTCGTTCATGCATCCCCTTCGTAGTGGAGTAATCGAGCTTTGAAAATCGGTCCAGGGGGTGTGTTATCTTGTGTCATATATGGTAATCTTGTCTTCATAGAAGGTATCATCAGAAGAACGCTGTGTGTTTTATCCCCAACTATTTTTACTCCCTCCCAAATTTGAGACTCCTAGTTTTATGTCCAAGTATCAAAAAGGTTAAAAAAAAAGCGAATCGAATAGACTTGTAGATTTGGAACGGGCTGGTGCTTCGCTCTCTGTCGCTACACCTCTCTGTCTTTCCTCTCTAGCCCCCTGCCCCCGCCTCGTCTGTAGCTGTCTATCGTCCCCCCATCTTCGTACCATTTGGTCTCGTATGATGCAAACGTGTATTCAATTTTGTGGGCATTGTCTCTGTTTATCGTTGGCTGTCCT